GGGGGGGGGGTCACCTCGAAGCCCAGCCAGGAGTAGGGGGACAGCACGTCGTAGAAGAGCTCCAGGGTACGCGGCGCGGGACCCATGCTGATGCGGCAGGCGGGTAGCGAAAACCAGAGCGAGGAGACGGTGAAGAAGGCGGCCGCGGCCTGAGCAGCTCGCGGGAACACACCCTGCCCCGCCTCCCGGGCCTGCCCTTGGCACCTGCTGCGCAGCCTCCATGGAGGGACACAGGGTGGGGGAAGGGCGAGGGGGAGGGTGACTGTCGCCTCAGTTGCTGCCGCTCGAGAGTCCAGCGAACGAACGGGTCTGAGATGATTGCTCGCGGTGCATTGCGTTTCGCTGTGCGCCTCTGGAAGCTGCTAGAGGTCGCAGACCTCTGGAGCTTCAGCACCCCAGCATATGGGCTGCGTAACGACCCAGAATTGGGAGGGAGGAAGGGGCTCCAATAAATGGTATCTGTTGGTATTCCTCCCCGGGAATAACAGAGACCTCTCGGAACTGGGTAGAAAGTCCCAATTACACAAGTTCTTGCGTTCCCTGGAACTTACTTGACAATCAGTATAGCTGTCCTGCTACTAGCCTGGGGTTCATTCCAGCATCCCATTGGATGCCTGAAATCACGTGGTACCGAACTCTGCAGGCACTGTGTCTTCTCCTATACTTGCCTGCAGCAAAACTAAATTTATAAATTAGGCACAATTACAGATCAACAATGGTTGCTAATAACAGTCTACCGCATTCAGTGCTTGCACTTAGGGGCCATTATTAACTAAAATGAAGCTTGCTTGAACCTGAGTGTTTTGTCTATTACAGCTGGCTCGATCGGCTTGATGGCTCCTAAAGACGAGTAGCTGTGTCGCACACACCCAGGACATGAAGGGACAACAGACTGGCTCCCCTCTCGGGAGGGAAGGCCTGAGACTTCATACAGCCCAGAAAGGCTCACACTTTAAAACTTGCTTAGTATTTAGTTTTGGAATTTTCTATTTATTTATTTATTTATTTATTTATTTATTTATTTATTGGACTAAATGAGCTAGAAAGGCAAGACCCCAGAAAGTAAGACTACAGATAAGGGGTGGGGGAAACCCCTGTAGACGCAGCTAGCCCACCCATAGGAGCCAGGAAGGACTGTACACACATACGGCTTCCCGAAAACCACACTTGTAAGAATATAAGTTACAGGGCCCGAGAGAGAGCTCAGCGGTCTAAAGCGCCTGCTCAGGCAAGCTTAGGCAGGCGCAGGAGACCACGCAGTTAGATGGGCAGCACCACAGCCGTACCAGCCCCACCCTCAGGGCAGGCTGAGCCGCCCCGCCCCCCCAGGCCCCAAAAGAATGTAAGTTACAGAGTTCAAACTGGACATGTCAAGCATCGGGCATCTCTCATCATATGATTATTGAAAAATACGTTGAATGAGCAGCAAAAAAACAGCAAGTTTTACACATCTCTTGAGAACATGCAAGAGAGAGGCGCTGGCAAAGAACAGCATGGGCTCACTGCTGCGGTAGCTGTAGGTGGCCTGGGGACTTTGTATTTGCAAATATGTTAAATTGCAATTTCATTTATTGTGCTGCACTCGATTTTAAGAAATCCCATCTAACTTCATTAAATTTATTTTGAACACTAATTTTATAAATTGGCAAGCACTTAATAAAGATTCCACTTTCCTTTGCATTTACTAGGGAAAAAAATTACAGGCTAACAATGCGAAGATCCAGTCTACCTCTCCATTGGGACTATACTGTGTGATCAAAAACTATAGGGACTGCTTAACTTTAAAAAAAAAAATTATTACTGTAAAAGACATATTGCCCCTTCCAATATGTCCCTTGCTTTAAACACATGTATTCATTCCATTTTTTCCCTACCGCTTTTTTGAAGCAATCCCAGGGTCTTCCTTTTGTAGTGTCTTGAGGTGCATCGTGGCTGCCTTGACTATGATGTTCTAAATTGATTCAAAACGTGGTGATTTCCTTTCGTGGTTGTTTCCACTTTGGGGAAGAGTCAGGAGTTGCACAGCGAGAGATGCATGGTGTAAGGTGGACGGAGATGCAGTGTGATGTTTTCACGGGCCTGCCTTTCCGCTGGATGGCACTAAGCAGCAGCATTCACTGTAGTTTTTATTACACCTGACAAAGACACTGTTATGCTTTACATCTAGATGTACCCGCAAAGCCTCAGGCAGTCCTGGTGGGGCTTTGGCAGTGGCTGGATGTTATCCCTGGGGCAGCTCACTGGTTGGCTTAGCCTAGTTCTGGGTGAGACTGAGTGTGTTTCCTGGGCGTGGGTGGCTCCAACCAATAGGCTCATCTCCTGGGTGGAACCAAAAGGGAAAGCAGAAGGAGGACGGGTGCTCCCTGCCCGCATGCGTAGGTTGGTTCTCTGCCAGTGCGCCTCTGCCCTTCCACCCTGCTTAGAGCCAGCTGGTTATGGTTTGAAACCTCTACAAACTGAGCCAAAATAAATCTTAATGAGCAAGTAACTGAAACACGAAAGAAAACTGCCAGAACTGCCTCAGAAAGTGGCAAGGACAATGGGATAAGTGTCTGAAGACAGGGGGGGTTAAAGACAATGTGCCTTTTGTAATATGCAATTGTTATTTAAGCATTCACCACTTATCTTGGCCACATTTCATATAGTCTAGATTTGCAATGTCTTCCAAAGGCCCATTTGTAAAGGATCTGTCTAGATCTCTAGGTTGGTGGTGGACACTTAAGATGTGAGGCCTCTGTCTCTGTCTCTCTGTGCCTCTGTCTGTCTCTGTCTCTCCCTCCCTCTCTATGTCTGTCCTTGTCTCTCTCTGTCTGTCTCTCTATCTCTCTCTCTCTTCTCCTCCCTCTCTCCCTCTGTCCTTTCTAGC